GAGCGGGATCCGTCCCGGTCGGGTTGGGTCGTGACAACTAACCCTGCTGTCGACTTCCCATGCCCAACCAACTTCATCCTCTAAAATAGCGCTCTCAAACTCCCTCCACCCACTACATTCCTCACCCAGGAGACATGACTAACCTCCTATCACTACAGCCCACCATTCCATCTCCAACGACCTAACCAATACTAAACTGCAAGTGAATAACACCAAACGACAAGTCATTCAAAAAATACGAGAGAACATGTATATATCTCGCTCTTTCTTTCTTAAACAACGGTTATCAGAAGACCGCACGTTCCATTGATCTTAGATATGACTAGGAAAAATGAGAAACTATGAAATCTCAATTCTCTTAATCTTTGATTGGGCTAGGAAGAATAAGAACATACGACGACCCCTCGTTCCCTTAATCTTTGATTGGGCTAGCAAAAATGAGAACATATGAAGACCCGCATCTATCGTATCATAAAGTCGTCCGGGAAGATTAAAAGGCAAATGCCTACCTAACGCCCCCAACACGAGAGAGACACCAAGAGGCTGCCAAAATTTTAAACATAGGACATTCACATAATTAAATTAAAAATGAATTTTTTAACAAAGAAAAGAAAATTGAAGGGCAAAATCATATAAAGCTAATTTAATATCTTAACCAAATGAAATTGTTTTTATTCCAAATAATCATTCGCTAACTATGATCTTGGAGGTTTAGATTGAATGATTTTTATAAAAATATAATTGTGAGTTGCACAAAATAACATCCAACATGCTAGAAGATTAGAACAAAACATAAAATTTTTGGTTTGAGTTCTAATACTAATAAGAAATGATGATAGACTGAAAATTAATTCCTAAATGAGAGATTTTAGAATGCTTCGTGAACTTGCTAAAGTGTTCAAACACCCAAACAATAGTGTTATGTTGACAAAAAATTTTAACGTGAGAGAACTACTTAATTTTCAAAATGTCCTCAAAATTTTGAATTCATTTATTCAAATCCTGAATTAAAATCCTACTAAAAAGTTTTAAATGCTTAAAATGAAATCCATCACCAAAAATATAAAACTAAAATCCATCCACACTTTGCAACTGTTTGACTAGAATGATAAATTTAGGAATAACTTCAGCTCATAGAGAGTAAATGTCTTGTGGAATGTATTACTACAATTCATTCTTAATAGATTTCTCAACAATAGGGACATGACACGTGCCCTCTGACCGGGTGAATTTGCTGCAAAATGACACCACTATATTACGTTCACGATCAAAGCTTGTATGTTCCCTAACGGTGAAAAGCCCATTGAGTAATGAATTAAAAGGTGTGCACTATAAGATATAAAGCCCTCTCTTAGCTAAGATTGACTTAAGTTCACCACCTTAGATCTACAAGATATCCTTAGACTAAACAACCCATGACTACCGACAAGGTTCCATCTGTCAAGTTGGGTGGACTACATCTTCTGATTAAGAAGAATAAGGACCATGACAACCCAGGATGACGAAACCATGGGATTTTGATCGAGGTTGTCATCATTCCCCCATCATCACTTTTAAGTATATGATAATAAATTTCAAATCATAGAATCCAAATATTCAAAACTAAATTAAAACGCTAAAATCATTGAGATATTATATGCGAGGTAATTATTGTGACCTATTTAACGAGTAGCATTAATTAAAAGTTCTCTCTCATTATCGGGAGGGGTAATTAACCATAGGTGCAAGGGCCTATGCGCAACCAAAACTCATATCATAAAGTCTTTGTAAAATGAGGGTGAAATCTCTAGGTAATGTCATAACTTAAACTTAATCTACCTTATGAAAGTTTACCCCGGGACCTAAATCCGTTAAAATTCTCGCCCTCATAAAAAAAAGCATGGAAAGGCTGGGGTGTGCCAATTTTCGGAACCCACAATACTCTGCGAATAAATTGGCCACATATAATAGTGAAGGGAATATTTTGAAATTTTGTTCGGTGGTTAAAACTACTTGCACTAAGGATAAATCAAAGAGGAGCCTAGAAATTCAGTGTGGCAGAGAATATCATGGCAATATTGAAGATTTTTTTGTAACGACAACAGCACTATATACTTTGCATACATTTCAATTTGGAGAATACAATACAGAAGTTAAAAGATGTCGAAATAGACGTTAGCATAAAAGAAAAGCAGAAATCAAGAGTTAAATTTGTATGTTAGAGGAAGTGTGGAATAGCATCTATTGATGAAAAAGTCTCAATACTATAATTATATATTTGGGTGTGAATGATGAAGATTAAACTAAACACTTGTAGAGCGGGGAGCAGTTAAATTTAATATGATGTTATAGATGAAGTTGGGAGAAAACATCGTTTTCCCTTTATAGAAGGCTTAGCAAACTCATAAAATATGCTCCAGTCACTCACATAGAATGCATCTTGCATTGGCCAACCGCCCCTGAGCCTTGATACATCTTTTGTTGTGACGTCCCGAGCAGAAGTAGCCAACACCTCATTGAAGACAACATGTGAAGCAGTGCACTCCGCCAAACATGATGTCTTTCAAAGTAAGGAGTTACAATTAGCCCAAGCCAGCATTTTATTTCTTTCAAGTGATGAATTATCAGATAAAGATTGATACCGCTTGAAGAATTTCTTGACGTGAATTCTTATCAGTAACAAATGAAGCAGCCAAAAGTAACGACTGAGTTGTCCTGCAAAGTGAAATTTTTATTTTCTATTCCCTACGAACTCAAATAAACAATTTGGATGTCAGATTATGATTTTCAACCTTGAAATATCAGCTTCATTCAACTCATTGCCTCTCGTAGAAATGAACTCAATCACAGCTTGAATAGCACCTTCAGCTGACTGTTTGATCTTGTCACATATTGCAGAGGTACACATATGCAATGAGATAACAAGCTGTTCAAGAAATCATTTAGCACGTCAAGCTTATAGAACATAGAATAAATTAGTGCACTAAGGAGAACGGGAAAGATGACACACCACACCTCATTTTTTGTTAGCAACACACAAACAGATGACAAAATCCTATTGAAGACTTCTGATTGATCAATGGATTCATCCTGCAAAATTTGAGTTAAAAAAAGTAAGATTTCTTTTGTGAGCAATATTATATAAATATATATAATATAATATATATATATATAGTAACAAAGAATTAAAATAAATAATATATGAAATATTGGACAAAAATTAAATCTTACCCTTCGAAGGATGGAAATTACATCTTCAAGAGAAGATAAGGCACTGTATGACGATTCTAGATCAACATCACTCCCAGCTAATAAAGGAAGCGATAAAGATATGCTGAAGAAAAGACCTATGATCTGCAGAATCACAAAGCCTGCCATAAGAATGCAAAAACTTCCCCATCTATTGGGGGAAATATAGTATAAATCTATAGGATTATGAATTAGATCGTCCACACACCTGAACTGCAACTTTTCTGACCTCTGAACTCACATCTGCACACCTTGGAAGATAGGTTATAACCCTTTCCCCGAGACTTAAGGAGTCCCGGCTGGGCAATAGATATGCAGCTGGACACAAGAAAATTAAATTAAAATAAATTCACATATTAATTGATAAGTCAATTAAGCCTGTTCTGTGCTTACATGGCAAAGTTGACAAATTTCTTTGCATTGGCCTTTCAATTTGCACATTGTGTGTGCAGCTGGAATGACACCCAAGTCCACATATTCCACCAGAAAAAAGAGCTCGGAACTTGAGAAGCATTTCATACACAGCAAGACAGCCTCTTCTTCTCTGATACACCACAGAAGATAAAACATATATATCTATCTGTCTTAGAATATGCAGAAGCTGTTCTGCTCGACTTCTACCATCTTCACCACTGGCAAATAAGATCATAAGATGGAGAAAATTTAGAAAAAGAATTAAAACTAGAAAACTGAAATAAATCGAACTTGACGCAGTATCATGACAAAAAAATAATATAAGGTAAAGTAAACAAAATGTGATAGAAAAAGCATTAAAAACCAATATTAAATAATCCACACTTGCACGGCATAATATAGGGCTAAAGACTGAGCAAAAGTTCTAGGATTCCTCTTTGCTCCTTAGCCTAAATGCTATAAGAAATCTCATGCCCTTAGCTCAAAAGCTATAGATTACATTTCATTTTTCCCTTAGCCTAAAAGCCATATAAAACACTATAATCCTTTAGCCTCAAAGCAAGAGGTTCATCATCATCTTCATTTACTTGACCCATGAACTCTTAGCTCTTGCCCGATAAGTCATGGTTTCTCCTATTGGACTCAAATTAAATAGGATTTATTTCCCCTTTGGCCTCAAATCCAAAGCCCACCAATTTCAACCAATTAAATTGATGATTTTATCATTTAGACTCAAACCTTAAATTTTCACCACTTAGCCAAAATATGTTATTTTATTTTTCATTTAAAATTATATAAAAAAAAACTTCAAGTTTGTAGGCCCTCTTTAGAAGCTTTTATCTTGAAATTCACCTTATAAAATTAGGTGAATTTAATCAAGTTATAAGTAAAATTCTTGGGCAAATTTATTTAATTCAATTAGGCAAACTTTTTTCTATTATCGAAATATTAAGTGAACAATTAAAATCTATTAAAATTATTTATGGTTTCTTTTGATACATTGATGTGTTATTCCACCCAAAAGGAGAAATGCTCTTATTGTTAGATCATAACACATCATGCATGACAGGCTTACCTAGAAACAAACAATGGTCATTTAATGAATTCTTCATAACCCTCTAAAACTATGAAATATCTTTTAAAATTAAATAATCAAACTGAAACCACTCCTGAATCAAAAATTAAATCTTTTTATGCTCCACAACATAAAAAGAGAAAGCATATAATAAAGTTCCAAAAGAAGTGCTATGGATAATTCTACATAAGAAAGGAGTTAATAATGCTTATATTCAAGTCATTAAGGATATGCATACATGGGCTGTTACTTGTGTTCAAACACAAGGTGGTTTGACCAAGTATTTTCCTATTTTAGTTGGATTACATCAAGGATTAGCCTTAAGCCCATACCTTTTTGCTATAGTCATGTATGTTCTCACTAGACATTTGCAAGTTTGTACTCTGGTGTATGCTTTTTGCTGATGATATTCTTCTTATTGATAAGACTAGAGAGGGAGTTGAAGGTAAGGTAATTTGAATTATGGAGGTCACCTTAGGAGTCTAAAGATCTTTCACTTGAGTAGATCTAAAACTGAATATTGAATGTAGATCTAGTGGGGGGATGTGACTTTGGACGATGTTTACAACAAGAGACATGTTTTTAATATCTTGGCGTCTTTGTCAGAGGATGATGAATGATGAATGGGAATATTTTATTAGTTAGAGATTCCAAGTGGAAAATTGGTTGAAGTGGAGGAATGCCATCGGGTCTTTCTTGTTTATGTATAGAAAGGACTCCTCTCATACGTAAGGGAAAAAGTTCTGATAAGATGGTAAGTGAGACCTGCAATGCTTTTTATAAAATGTTGGCCATCAAAAAGAGAAGCAAATATTAAAGTTATGGTTGCCCAGAGATGAGGATGCTTATGGTTGGTATGAGTGGCTATACTTTTAAAAACGGATAGAAAGCGCATATAGTGATAACGGTTAGTAGCTTTAGTGAAAGATAAGATTAAGAGAAGCTGCCAGATGATTTTGGTCACATAGAAACGACGGCTTCCCGAGAGCTGATTAGAGAAGAGTAGATGTATTATATTTGACTTATATTATAGAAAGGTAACGTTATACCTAAAAAGACTTGGTTAGAAAATATTAGAATACATTCTTTATATAGATTTAGATGAGAATTTTGACTTTGAACAGAACACAAATGGAAGAAAAAGGATTCAGGTGCAATTCCCCACATAGTGGATAAAGGCTTGTTGTTAATTGTTGTATGCCTGCCACAAAGCTAACATATAAATATAGTTTTGCAGCCATGCAAACCTGATGAGGACATCGTCAGCGATTTCGACACATGTACCATCAGGAGCTGCCGGAGATCGATCGGCCAGATCATGATTGTATTTTTTTTCATTTTATATAGAATTTATTTTAATTTTATTTTTATGTTGTTTCCGCTTTTGCCCTTGTGGGTATTTAGTCGCTATTGGTACCCAATGGTCAATTTTAGGTCTTTGTTTTCTTTGTCATTTGGTGGCCTATAATATAATCGTATTTTTCGACATAGTTAATAGTAATTTGAATGAATAGAAAATTTACTTTGAGTCTCTTTGTGAAGATTCCTCCTCCCCGATTCTATTAGTGAAGTTCGTCGAGAAATAAGATCTCTTTGTGAGCTTCAATTTCTCGTCCCCGTCATTCATGGTGGAAATTTCGGGATTGGAAGCAATTGAGGTTAGATTGGATCCGTGGCTACTCCAAGTCTAGGAACTCCCAATTCTTTTCCCTGCTATTGCCTCAATGCCGCTACCCAAGCGACCAAGCCGCCGGCCCTGGCTTCAGCCTTCCGATGGCCAAGCATGCAGCCCCGCCGTCTGTCTTCCCGCCGACCAGCCCCACAGCTCCATCCTGCCGCCTCTCCCTCTTGAATTTCACATTTGAATTTAATCCCTTGGTAATTCACTTTCCTAATTGTGCTCATTCATTATCCGCCCAATTAATGAGATTAAAGCAATTCCCCAAAACATTCCAAATTTGGTTCCCTCCTCATTTTAAAGTTTGGGAAGTTAACTAGACAATTAAATCTTGAAAATTAAAATTCAGATTTAACTTCATTGATTACTAACTGGCCCCCACCTCAACAAACCCGGAAACCCCCTCTCTCTAGCTCTGGCCGGCCACTCCCTCTCTCTCACCCTTTTAATTCCTTTTTACTTACTTCCTTAATCCTTTTCTTCATGAGTTTAAATTCATTCAATTTTGAAAAACTGAAATTAATCCCTCCTCAACTTTTGGAAACTCTGAACTAAAATCCAGATTTTGTTTTTTCCGCCTCATAATCTCACCCAACCCCCTCTCTCCTCCATACCGTGCTCCCTCCCTCTACCCATCCTGAGATACTCATTCACACCCATTGGCGAGGATGATGGGGGATCGATGATTTTGGATTTGTTGCATAGACCAGATAAAGTTGACATCCTCAATAACGTTCTTTGATGTGGGCTTCGATTCGAGACTACCATTGAGATTACATCCGGTCGTTCCTTTAACTCTTTAGTGGTGTGATGACGAGCAAATATCAAAGGGAACGTTGGATATCCTTGACGACCGTCATCCTCCACACTATGCCCCATCCAAGATACGACGATCTTGCCCTCCTTCTCCCGGGTGACTCGTTCTAATTGGAGGCTCTTCTTCGCTAAAGCTAGACTAGTTGAGTCGATAGAGCTCCAAGGTGAAAGTTCTCATATTAAATCAATGATTCTTGTTTATGTTCGTAGCATACAATTATTCTTTGCGTTTTCTTGACTGTTTTGTTAATCGATTTCGCTCTTCTTTGCCTAAGCAAGTTAAAACCAAAGATTAAGGATCAATCATTTTGTTATAAGTTGAATTATGTGGACCTTTGTTAATTCATCTCTTTAATTTCCTAAGTAACTCTGAACGGGTTTGTATCACATCCAAACCAGTAACACCTAGATTGAACAACTTCTTGGGCAATCCTAGGACTATAACCTTTTTGATCATGTGTATAATGTCTAAATATGAAATGTTTGTGATTGTTTGATTTTGGCATTTATCGCTATTAGTATAGAGATATCTAATTTTCTTTATAGAATGTCATTCGAAAAGGGGAAACAATTAATAATTATTGCTAATAACATTTGCTTGCAAGCTAAAACCAAATTAGCGTACCACAAGTGAAACAGCTTAGCACTATAAGCATACAGGCCAATTTTGTGTATGTGTCATATATAGAATGCCATGCTCTATCTATTTGATATTCAGGAAGAGTCATTTTCTCACTTTCACACGAATTCATGATTTAGAAAGTCATGAAACCTTTGATTCAATTAAAAGGAACATAAACTAGAAGGATGAAACATATAATGATTTTTGGACGTAGTAAAGCGAAGTTTTTGAAATTCCAATCTATGTCATAATTCAATAGTGTATTAAGATGGCAATTTTAGCTGTTTTTTTTTTTTTTTTTTTGGTTAGTTTGTTTGTTGTTGATATTATTCTATGGATGATCTTATGCTTAATTGTTTGTTGACTAAGAGTGCACATTAGAAATGCATGTTTTTTTAAATTTCCTTCATTACTTTACATGGAGGTGGCTTGGATATTTTATACAGTAGACTTTTACGAAAACAAGTTTTCTACCTATTAAAATTTAAGCGGCACTTAAATTAACCATAGGATAATATTTTCAAATAAAAATGCATAGCTATTTTAAAATAAGCTAACTCTTTCTGATGTAAAATATAAAGCAGTTGCAAGAATTGCGTGGGAAATTTTAAAAAGTTATTAAGCTTGCTAATTAAAATTTAATGTTTCACAAGATTAGATTCTAGGATTTCTCAGTTAAAGATCTTATAATAGCTTGTCATTACAATATAGAGTATGGAGAAATTAAAATAAGAACAAAAATATGAAATGCTTAATTTCTCAATCACAAGAATCCACTGATTAATAATTAGAATGGTCGCTTTGAGTTTCCCTCACTCATACTCTTGGGTATTTCAACGGAAGAATAATTTATACAATATTAACGATGCCACCACAAGACAGTAAACACTTACTGTATTGCTCAATGAAGAATTTTTCGAAGAGGAGGTAGCTGGTGGGTGATGGAGTATTTGCACTGAACGGTAAGTTGATGCTCGTCGATGGCAAATGTCAAGGAAAAGAAGATCCGATCGATGTAGCATTCGACGGAGTGGTCGATCTCAAAATCGATGTCGAAGAAGGGAGATCGATGAACATCCACTCGTCCTTGAGGGCCACATACGAATCCATGATCATGCTCGGGTCGGCCATCCATGGAGAGTGAAAGTTCCTCCAATTTTGGGAGGGGACTAGGGTGGCCGACGGCTTGTATGGAGAAAGAGGAGGGGAGGGGTTCAAGAGAGGTTATGAGAATTTGAGAATTAAATCCAACAATTATTCTTGATTGGGGTATAATTAGGAAGGGGCTATAAGTGGGAGAGAGAGGGGGCGGCCCAATAATGGGGCTTAATTTGGGTGAATTAATTGACTTCTATAATTGGAACTTTAAATTAGGAAAGGATTTAAGGGCCTTTCAAAATTTAAAATTCAAATTAAATTAACGGAGGGAACTTTCTTAATTAATTCAAATTTTAGGTTTTCCAAAAATACCATGAATTAAATTAGGAAAGTAATAATGGGCCAATTCAAAATTGGAGCCAAGGGGGATTAGGGGGGGGTGGCTGGCGGCAAGGTGGAGGGGAAATTGGCCGGCGGCAAGGTGGGGGAAGGGGATTCGGCCGACGGTGGGGTGGATTGGCTTGGGGTATAGTCGAAGGTATGGGGGGGAGAGAGGGGTGGTTTCGGCTTAGAAGAGGGAGGAAGAAAAGGAAGGGGAAGGGGAAACCGAGAGCTCAGACACTTCCTGCGGCTGGCGGGAATTGCTTTGCCCTCACCTAGGGACTTCTCCTCTCTCTGGAGCTTTCAAAACTCATGAGAACAAGAATACATAAATTTCTTATTAATCATCATCCTCCCACAATAGCAAAGGCCCACATATATAGGCCTCAAAAATAAAAGAGACTCAAAGACTAAAATGTCCTCTGGGCTACAACACAAACTAATCCCGCATAGGGCTATAATGGTAAAAACTAAAACATAAGCACAAAAAATATATAAAATCCATCATAAATAAAGATTCCTAATCGTAGCCGTCGATCTTCGATTCCTCCTATGATAAACGCACCATAATCTCCTACTGATGTCCTCATGACTTTCAAAGTTAAAAATAAAATGCAAAGCCTCATGAATCATAATGTACAACTCAATATTTGAATGATTATTTATCCATAAGAGTACATATAAATCAGCATCAATCTCATGCACTTAGTTAATGAACATCATATGCATAACCCTGTAAGTCGCATGTAAAAAGAATAGCTACTAAATTAAAAACTAAATAAAAAAATTGTATTATGAGTTAGCATGTGATACCCTCATGATTAGGCACCTTATTTTAATTAAGCAGTAAGTCTTTTTTTCTAAAATCAAAAAAGCCTAACATATCTTGCATATACAATAAGGATAGACTTGCATGATATTAAATTCTTTTCAATGAGTTTAGCTGACAATCCTTTTCAGGCATAATTAGCTGACAATCCTCTTCAGGTCAGGTTAACTTAACATCAAATGAGATTTCAAGTTCATAAGTTTCATGTATCTGTTAGATTTAGATCCAAGTTATTCCCTATCAATGATTATCACCATAGATCTCAGATCTGTGAAATTCTTTTTTTACATCATATGCTTTTACCTTCCAAGGTGTTTTCTCAATCTTAGGCTGTAGGAATATCTTTAAAAATTAAATTGGTCAATTTGAATGAATATTTAATTTCTAAATGTAAAGCTTAATATAACATAATATTGAATATGTAATATTCGTTGTCCGAAATTAAGGTAATTTTCTGTTAATGATTATTAAATTAAAATTCATTAGTAATTATGAGTATTAGAATATTTATTAGGATTATGAGTAACCAAAGTTTGCAGTTTGAGAAGTGAAAAATATGAAAAACTGCTTTGCGAGCGCTACTCTTGAGTTTTTGGACAGAAAAATAGGTTTGAGCAAGCGCTGCAGCGCTGAGTTCTCAGATGAGGATATTTTGGGAGAATCTAGAAGGTTTTCTTGGAGCGCGGTTGCGTTGGGAAAGTGAACATTGCGGTGCTAGGTCAAGTTGGTGATTTTTAAATATTAAAATATCTCAGATCACTTGAACTAATCCCATATGCACCTAAGCCTTGTCGGAAAAGAAAAGGGGAAGGGGAAAAAATATAGGAGAGAGAAAGATGAAGAGACATTCCAAAGTGTTTATAAGAAGATATGGTTATATATGTGTTTTACTTGAGTTTGGAAAAAGTTTCATCATGTAACTTTTAGTATATTGTTACTGACTCTGTTCTGGACAATCTGACAATAAGAATGTAAATTTCACGAATTGATTTATTTTGTATGAATTTCTGAATTTTCTGAAATAATGAGCAACTTATAAACCTCAGTACATATGGCAAAGTGTGTCAGATTAATATTTTATATACCCCTCGTAAATTTGTAAAATTATGAAGATCTTGAATATGCATCTTAAATTGGGATTTCTTATGGAAAATATGATATTGTATACACACACATCTAAGTTTCTTAGTTGTATATTGCATTATATCATCATGTATTTCACGACATCCTAAAGCTCTATTATAGAAATGAAAGTGCACTATGAATTTTGTGCTTAGGGCCAATGAAAATGTACCTTTGTTCTGAACTACACTATTTTGCTCCACCTCTGAGACGATTCTATGTTGAAACACACTCTGCTCTGTTCTGGCTCTGCTCTGCACTCGCTTCAAGCAGGTGGGATGTGACAACCGGTTCATCCGGCCGGTTCAATCGAACCGGCCGGCCCATTCCTTATAATTCCGCGAACATAAAGGGGTCGCGGAACAGTGCAGTTCGCGAAACAGAGAGGGGCGGGCGACGGGCGTTCGTGCGGGAGAGCAAGGTGAGTTTCGTTTCTCTAATTTTAGCACACGATTGTTTTCAAGGATAAGAAATAATGATTCTTTTTTATTCTTATCATTATCAGAGTGTTATTTTGGGAGAGATTGGAAGAACGAGAGAAACGGACGATAAGGCTTAAGGGAAAGGTTTGTTGAATTTTCTTTCAGATTTTTTCGTATAAATTTCCTCCCTTTACCTCATCCAAAGTGAATGATATATTTCTTGAAAGATAAGGAAAGAATTGAAGCGAAGAAAGAGGAAATTTCGAGAAGAAGGATTTTGAGAGTTTGAGAAGTCTCCATTCAAAAGAGTAAGTGAATTCCTTCCAATTTCAGTTTTAATGATATTTAGAATTTAAATCAAAATATTATATTGATAGAAGTTATTGTTTGAAATTAGGGTTTTTGAAAGTGAAAGATTCAAGTCATAAGTGTTGATCCCGCGAGGATTTAGCAAGAAGAGAAATTGATTCAAGAATAGATCAAGCATCGAAGGCCTGAAAAGTTCAAAGTGGGTAAATTATATTATTTTATGTTTTATTCATGATTTCAATTTTCTAAATAATTGATTAAAATATTGTATTATAAAATGTTGAAGACAAATCCTTATGATATTATAGTCTTAAGAAAGAATCCATCTATGATAAGCTTATGAGAAAAGAAAGGAAATAATTTATAAGGATACATGTGATATATGCTATATGCAATGATAACTATAAGGATGAAAATGAGAAATGAAAAGAAAATAAAGGAAAAGGGTATTACAAAATGACAGGAGTCACCCCCTTATGGTACTGGCTGGGGACGCCGTACTCGTGCACGAAAATGGAAAAGGAAAAGGCTATGGAAATGGAAAAGGACTATGGAAATGGAAAAATGAAAGCAAATGGAAAAGGTTGTACCTTCAGGTACTTTGAGACGGTGCTCCTGTGCAAAGTAAATGGGAAAAGGAAATGTAAATGAAAAATTTAAGATAACATTGTTTCGAAATAGTATAAATGAAAATATCCAAAGAAGTATAAGTTAATGAAATAAAAGAAAAAAGATTAAGAAAAGAAAGAATATATATTAATCCATTTTTTATAAAGATAAATTTATATAATTCCCACTGAGTTTACTTAGTAAACTCAAACCACAAGTTTAAATGTTTCAGGTAATTCCTAAGAGAAGTAATGGCTGAAAGAGAAGAACATGTTTACAGAAGGCGAGGTGCAAATGACAACAGGTAAAATAGATTTTTGTGTTTAGTGGCTCTTCAGTTTTTGTAAAAGTTTTGAGGACTAGTTATCTTATACTTTTGGAAATGTACTATCGTCCGACCTTTCGTACCCGCCTCGTTAGATCGAGCATCCGGGACGGGTCGTGACATGGGAGGTGAAAATTGGGAGCTATAAGAAGGCATTAATACATGAAAATTTCTGCATTCATATTCATATGTGATCTAGTATGCCAACTGTATAGTATACACCAACTGTATAGTATACACTACCTCTTTTATTTTATTTATTGATAATAAACTGTGAATTGAACTCTGATATGAAAAAAAGGGGTTTTCTATTGAGTTTTATACTCATATTGATGCAAGAAAAGCCCCTAATTTTTGCAAGAAAAAAGAAACACTTCCTAGGAAATAAAAAATTACACGAAATACTAAAAATTAGACAAAATACGACATTTAAAACAAAATACAACTTTACTTTTATAAAAGAAAGACACTTACAATTTTTTGACGCTTACAAACACAAATATAAACAACACCTAAAGGAGCTCGCCAATCGTTGAGAAGAAAGATACTGATGGGGTGGTCACTTGCCGCGAGAAGAAAGAGGTAAGAAGCCCGAGACGAGGAGAGGACAAGCTCGCAAGCTTTCCTAGAAGAAGAGGAAAAGAGATGGAACAAGCTCGCAAGCCTTTCCAAGAAAACCCGTAGGTTTTATCCAAAAATTTCTTTCATAACATTCTCTCTCTAAACATTATGAACATCAAATATATATAGGAGATAAGAGGTAGCTAAACAGCCCAAAGCTACCTCCAAATAAACCATAAAACAGGAGAATATTGAAGGTCAAGGGGCTGTCCAAAAACAACACCCAAATAGCCACAAAAGACCAGAATTTATTCCAGAACAGCACCCAAAAAAACCACACAGAAAACCAAGAAAAGCAGCAACGAGACAAGCAGCCAGGGGAGGAACCGAAGGGGCAGCATAGGGAACCGGGACAACAGCCAGGGAGACCGAAAAAGCCACCACAAGGAACCAGAACTAGCCAGGGAGAAAGAACCAGCCACGGGAAATAGACCAGGAAGAAACCGAGGGCACACAAAGAAGGGGAAAAAACAAAGATCCAACTCCACTTAATAAGCTAATCAAGATGAATACCTTTTCATATTAATGAGCTAAGCATTATCTCAAGCATTTATGAGCTAGAACCAAGTAGTTCCCAAAGAACACAGCCCAAACCCGAGTAGCCAAGGCCCAACCCGAGAGGCAGCCAGCAGTCCAAAGAGCCCAAGTAGTTAGCACACCCAAAGCTTGCCAAGCCCAATTACAACCCAACTTATTTTGAACCCCCCCCCCCCTTCCTTTTGCCTACATCACATACTGATGTTTAAAATATTTCAGGCAAACAACAAGAGTCGTGCTAAGTAAATTGAGTAGGATAAGGAGCCAGAAATATGATTTTCTAAGGCAAATATAATTTTTAAATTCAAAATATAAGTTAGTCTTTTGTATCAATCATAGTATTCTGAACTAGTGTTATTTAAGAATTGTGAGAAATATTTTGTAAGCATAATCTGGATGTCTATTTTATATTGTTTTAGATGATTAGATAGCTCTAATGAAATAAAAAGTTGGGTTGAGATTTCTTTAAGGTATAAGATAAGAAGGTTTAATTCTTTCTTTAGGTCTTGAGGCGTTACAGAATACATCTGAGCTATGTTGCACGGATACACCTATTTAAGAGGCATGCTGTATCGGATACGTGTCAGATATGGATACGCCTCCGATACGACACGGATACGTGTCAAATACGGCTTTGCCGTGTCCAATTAAATATTATTTAAATTTGATCGGACACGCGCATCGCTTGGTACTCGGTACTGCTCGGTGCTGCTCGGTACCGAGCAATACTAGAACTCAGTATTGCTCGGTACTCAGTACCACTCGGTACTTATCGGTACTGCTCGGTACCAAGAGATACTAGAACTCAGTACTGCTCGGTACTCGGTACCGCTCGGTACTGCTTGGAACCACTCGGTACCAAGTGATACTAGAACTCAGTATCGCTCGGTACTGCTCGGTACAGAGGGGTACCGAATGGTACCAAGCAGTACCAAGAAGGTAGAGAAAACTTTAAAGCAACTCTGACAATAAAAATTTGTTCCGGGGGCGCTGCCCCCGGAAACCCCCACAGGGGCGCTGCCCCTTGACCCCCGCAGGTCAAACCTCGCCAGTAGGCAGCGCCCCCTTGGACCCCCGGCATAGGCGCAACATATCTATACTTTTTATTAAAAAAATTCATGTGGATTAATTGTGTCAATCCTTTGTACTTTTAATTAAAAACTTCATTCGTTGGATAATTTATGTTTTTTTTTTGTTGTTGTACTAGACATTTAAATATTTAATGCTTACTTTTATTTTGATATTATAAGATACAATGCTACAAAAGCTGTTGCTTTCAATTTTTTTTGTCATTTCAAATATTATGCTTTGATTAATTTGTTATTTTTTATGTATGATTTATATATTATAATGTCGTATCCGTATCCTGTATGTTTTAGAATTGCCGTGTCCCGTATCCATATCGTGTTGTATCAGTGTCGCCGTATCCGTATCGGTGCAACATAGCATCTGAGCTTTTCAGAATCAAGTACTAATACATTTTTCTCCCTTAGCTTCCGTTAAACAAAAAACTAATTTTAAGTTGACCCAATTACCCTTAAAACTCTAAAGACAAAATATTCGAAATGAATTCCTCAAAAAATCAGATAAACTGTTAGCCAATATTTTAATAAACAAATGTAAACCACTATTTTAATTTAAAATTTTCTCAAGGGATGAATATCGTTGGAATGTAATTAACCATTGGAGCATATTCTTACGGGAAACTTGAACCCTAGAATAAATCATTGGAACATATTCAACCAAACATATCATGCAGAGGAAAATATTTGTGCATAAAAATAAAAACATCAAGTTTGTTACTGAGATCATAGTAAAAGAATATTTTTTCTGAGATTAATATATTATTTTCTATATCGTACTCAATCATGATATATTTTAAAGAGGATAGAAAAAATTCCAGATATACTTGGCACAAGTTGACTTGGTTTGATCCCATCGAATGACCTTGACCAAGATAATCAAGACTTCATCAAAAGTTTGATAGACTTTGGATCTACTATGTAGGTAAATGACTCTTGGTGTTTGTCGGACCATCTCTATCACTACTGCAAACACTCCTACTTAAGGATTTCCATATCCACAATGGAAAATAAAATCTTGTCATGATAACCCCATTGTTTTTAAACTATCTACATGTGGGATGCTAGTACAACATTCATTTGTGTTAAAAGTATACTGCTTGAAAAAAATAAATGACAATTTCTATTAAATATGTGTCTACTTCAAAATTTTAGAATATAGACTGATGTTGGCAGCAATATTTTCCCATCATGAACTAAGAGGACAAGAAGCTCACAAAAATAAATAAATAAATAAAATAAAACAGTTAATGAATTTAACATTAAGTAAACACAAGCATATACTTCATATGATGCATCAGACTTACCTGGTTTGCAGAATGGCACATAACAGAGTAATGAGGTTTTTTATTAGTACATCAATTATGTCGGAGGGTTCATTAGGCAGAGTAAAAAATCCTAATGTCGCCTGAAAAAAACAGTACTTCAGATTAACAGAAGGTCATATGGCCAAGTAAACATCAAGCTGTTTCCAATAAGATGTATGATAAATTACCTTCAAAACAAGATTTCTTGTTTCCAGTGGTAGCCTCGGTTCAATAGAAACCAAAGTTGTACAAGCACTTAAAGCAAGGCTCTGCAAATTCATAACAACTTAACAGCAAATAAAAAACGCGCCATACACTTCTAAGATATCTTGAATATCACAGATGTAAACAACAACACAAGTATCAAATCATCAACTTACCTGAGTATGGAGAAGTTCATTACTTGACTCAGTAAAACTATTAGTTTCTTCAGTACCCATCAAGGTCAGCACATAATCAAGTAGCTGGTCTCTTCGCTTTAGTGGGAAGCAAATGCCCATCTCAGAAGCATTAATGACCGCACGCCCTACAAAAAAATACATCTACACAGATTACAAGGTGGAAAGCGAAGACCTAGAAATATTTTTAGAGAAATCAAAGAATGTCACAAACAGAAGATAAATTCCTTGAGTAAAGGTGTGCTGGTGATAAAAGAAGTGCTCTATTTATAAGGAAGATCAATTCAAGGTTGTTTCTTATTGCAACAAGAGCCCCCTGAAATTAAAAGTGACTAGAGAATTTTTCACTGCACAAGTAGGTGCAGTTAATACCTTGTGTGGATGGTGATAAAGATTCATAAAGGCTGACCCAAAATAGTAGGGCTAAAGCTAATTAGGATGACGAATCATGGCAGTTTTTTGCTTTTCTCGAATATGGGAAATCATGCTGTCCAATCAAAATTTTCATATATATATATATATATACTTGGCATTAATTTTCAATTAAAAGTTGCAATGGTATTTTGGCAAAGATGATGATGATATAATTTGTATTTTGTCAAAAGTTCACTTAAAATTGTACTTGTTTGTTTCTGACAATCGTGTTCCATGTACTTTCAAATATTATCCCAGCCCCTGATAGTTTAATCAGCATCATATTCTGCCAACCAATAGGATGTACTAGTTTGCAAAAGACTAAGGATATACTAAGCAATTAATGTGATGATTTTAAGTCAAGAATGCTTGAAGATCATTAATATATATTAAGACTTAAAAGATAGATAGATAAGATAAGTTTAAGTACCCTCGATTCGTTGTTAACAAGATGAACATGGAAGAGGATAAAAAATTTACTATCAAAGTTGAGTGGTAAAAATAGAGAACTTATCAGCATTATTAACAGCAGAATATCATTAAGAATTAAAAGGCTAATTTAAAAGATTGGCCATGTTTTATGAATTTAACTATTTGGAAATAATTAAATCATTAATACCCATGCAGAATAAAGATATGAGTGAAACAATAGAAAATAAGGTAGTGAAAAATTTCTTGGATTTGGCCATACACAAAAATAAGGAAAATGCATTAATAAGACAAGGATATCGAATTATTGACGAAAATATATATATAGAGAGAGAGAGAACAAAAAAATAGCATGTTTAAATAAGAACTAAATATCAATAAGCTGAAATAAACAACAGAATACAAGCATATCTGATAGCCCAATTCATACAGTTAATCACGCAAAGGAATGTCGTCCAAGGATTTGCTTAGCAGCTTGACGTGGACATTGGAGCTAGTAAGTCATGTATATCAATTTGGAATTTAGGAAATTAAAGTTCAAATATGTACACTTGCAGTTAATATTCCTAAGAAACATAAAGTGGTCTGACAAAATTCAGGAAACTATCATGTTCAAATATAAAAACAACACACACAAAATACAGTGCAAAAGTATGTAACATGATTCTAGCTCAAAAAAGTACCAAGCAGCTCAATTGCTGTGATGACTGCCTGCTTTGATGTAGGATGTTGCACATGAAGAAGACGTGAGAGCATGTTGGTACCCTGCAAGAAAAAGTATACGAAATTACTGACTTAACGATTTGAATTTACAACACATAAAAAGAGAAACATCAAGCCATATGGTTATCAACATTGTCTGTTTAAATGGATTACTCATGCAAATCAAAGAATAATAATCTTCGCATCAAATAATTCTAAGTGTTAGTTCTTCTGTTCAGTGATTACTGGTAGAAATTCCAACACTTCCAAGAAAATGTTACAAAAAGTTTCCAAGATAATCCTCAAATTATCAATAGTATATACAGGAGTGGTCTCACCTCAGCATGAAGACCACCTTTATATCTGCAAAGCTGCTTAAAGTATTTCGTGTCTCATCAGTCGGTGATTTTGTCCTATGTCCAACTCTCTCATTTTTACACATTAAATGATTTAACTTTTTTTGTAGAATTTAAATTATGGAGGTCAACATTAGAGACTAAAGGTTTTCGCTTGAGTAGATCTAAAACGGAATATATGAAGTATAATTTTAGTAGTAATAGACCTAGTGAGGGGATTGTGACTTTGGGCGATCAAGTCATTAATAAGAGTACACGTTTTAGATATCTTGGATCTATTGTTCAGAGTGATGGTGAAATAGATGGGGATATTATCAGTAGAATTCAAGTTGGATGGTTGAAGTGGAGGAATGCATCGAATTTGACCTTTAATAGGACACAATGGAGAAAAAAGATTCATGTAGCCGACCCCACATAGTGGGACAAAGGCTTGATGTTGTTGTTGATGTTTAATTAATTAATAGTTAATTGTGATATTAATATATAAATCTTAAAAAAAATAATTATAATTTATAACATGTTAACAAAAAAGTGCGCGACATTTGCGCATTGCAGCATTGCCCATACATTGCGCATATAGCGCGCTATTTTGATGTGCCGCACCATTTTGATGCGTCCTGCCGCCAAATAGAAAGCCCCATATGTGCGCGGCTCCTTGCAGTACACCATGGCACATGTCATTTTGCGACATTGACATGCATGCCTACTAGCCCCCTCTACTTGATTCCTTTAACCTGAGCCTTGTACTTCTCATGCCTAGCTTTCCTTGTGTATCCTATCCCCCCTTGCTTGGCCATATCACAGCTCTCCTCGATGCGCCAACCACATCATTTTCTCTCTCAAACCTACCTACCTTCCCTCTAAGTCGTCAAACCCAGACACCGAAACCCCCAAGCGAGCCCCTCCTTTACTTTTCAAACCCATTGATGAGGACATAAGTCAGAGATTTCGACATGTGTATCATCGACGTAGTCGTGGATCGACGGCTACGACTCAGAGTCTATATTTTTTATGTATTTTATGTTTTATGTTTTATGTTGCATTTAAGTTTTTCACATTTTACCCATATGGGGAGTTGAGTCTATGTTGTAGCCCGAGGGCACTTTAGTCTTTTCTGTTTCTTTCATTTGGGCCTATTTATAGGAGGCCTCTTGCATTGTAATGGATGATGATTATTGAGTAAAATTTCAGATTTTTCTTTGTCTTAAGTTGTGAGATCTTGAGTGGAGAGAACCCTAGGAGAGGGATATGCAATACCCGATAGCCGCAGGTGGATTCCGGGCTCTCGGTTAGTCTTTTGATTTATCTACTTCCTACTCCTCTTTCTCCTCACTACCGCCAATATTCCCCTTATTTTCCCCATATCCGAACCCCTCCCAAAGCCCATCCCGCCGGCCTCCAATAGATCCCCTAGCCGCCAGCCTCCTATCAAAACCGGCGGCCACCCACCATCCCGCCGCCCTTTCCCCCAAACCCAAACTCGCCGGCTCCCCTTTGGCTCTATTTTGTATTTCAAATTCAAAAAGGGACTTCATTACCTTCCTAAAATAAGCTCAAGACATTTAGGAAAGTTTCCAATTTGGATTTCAATCAAGTTTTCAAATTCAAATACCTTTCAAAGGCTTGGACTTAAATTAGGAAACTTGCCTATTGAATAAAATCTGAAATATATTTCAGATTTGATCTAGATCCAATAATTAATCATTGGGGCCCACCTAATTAAAACAAAATCTCCCTCTCCCCACTCTATATGGCCGGCCCCCTTTAGCCTCTTCCCCTCTCTCCAATTAGCATTTAATTAACCCCTTAATGCTCACAAAAACTGCCGCCCCCTTGCCTTGTTGGACAAAATTTGAAATTCAAATAATCTCTTCCCCCACCTTTGGAAATCTGAATTTAATTTAGATTCCTAAATCCTACCCCTTCCCGCCTCTACCAAACCCTAGCCCCTCCCCTCCCTTTCCTCAAGCCGGACCAACATCATCCCCCTCCACCCACCACCTCCTCTCCCTCTTCTCCCCATTTGTGCTCCCTCATCTCTCCCGACAAACATGCATGGCGGATACGGAAATTGATCACGGGCTTATTCTCAATTCTCAATCCTCAAGGGGAAATTGATGTCATCCGATCACCATTCTTTGATCCCGGATTCGAATATGAATGCACCGTCAAGGAATACGTTGATCGTATCCTCCCGCACTTAGCGGATGGCATCGACGAATAAAAACCTATTGAAGAGTGGAAGATCACCGGACGACCACCCATTTCTCCAACTCCGATTCCTTCCCCGACGATTAGTACCCTCGGCATCGCATGTCTTCTAGTGGCGTCTCTAAGTTTGCTCGCAACATTCTCCCGCTAAGCCCATCACCCTCAAGAGTGTGAGTGAGAGATCCTAAGGTGAATGATCTAATTATTAAATTGTGGATTTTGTTAACTTACCATTTGCTTTACTCGTTTATTTGTTATTGTTATTTTGCAAAGTATCCTAGTAATTTCAATTGTAATCGATTGCCAATACTTAGTCTTTCATGGAATTTCCTAAAATCTAACTTGAAGAAGCATCCGTTTTTATTTAGCCAAGAAAAGTTCATATTTTACTAATTTCTTAAAGCAATTCTTGTTCATCTTCATTGTGTCACATCACCAATCCACCGACCTGCTCAGGACACCTCCCATCTCAATAAACTGTCGTCAAGCTTCCCCAACAGCCTTCTCTTCATTTTTCAATCTCCCTCCCTTCTCTAACTATAATGCTCACCCTTTCTATCTCTAATATATCTCCCTTCTCACTAAAAAATAGAGAGAAAAACTCCTCTTCACTTACCCCAATCCCTTTCTCTCTCTAAACAAAGAGAGAACACCTCCCAAAAAAATGAAATCCCTCTCCCTTCACATTTCTTATTCTTCTCGTACTCTCTCTCCACTTCATCATCTCCCTCTACTCTCTTTCTCCCTTTTCTCTAAACAAAAAAAAGCAAAAGAGGAGAGAGAGAGAGAAGAAAAATAAAAAGAGAGCATTTAGGTTTAATACTCGCCCTCGCAGATCCTCTTGTAACCTCATCATTGTTGTTGACTCTTCGCACGCATGTATAAAAATTGCAACTATCAAAACTCCCAAAATCCCGAGTGTTACACGCATGGCGTGACACGCAAAACATGTGAGACTTTTTCAGTATACAGTTGAGGAACTCGCAGGACACGCTCACAACACAGTGGATAATCCCTATACATATTTTTCTTAACATGGTGGAAAAAAATTATAATGTTGGGGAAGTTTTCTCATGCAAGTAACCCATACACCCCTTTCTGGCATGGTGAGTTTTGAAGATTCCAGCTCCAATGTATTTGGATATCAACCATACATGAATCTCAAGAAAAAGTTTGCGAGCCCAAAGTCCCTTTAGATGGCCTTTATATAGGGAGATGCTACGAAAAAGTTGAAAACTCTTGTTTAGAAAACTACGTATTTACTTTACCAAGATTTGCAATCATTTTAAAATTTAGAGAACCCTTTAAAAAAATCAGATTTGCTTGCATGTGGCTAACAAACGTACTAAATAGTCATACAAAAAGTATGATAATGTTACGTGGGCTAAGAATAATTTGAACTAAAAATTCTCTCACTTTGAAAAGAATGCAATTATTGTACGAAGTATTGCAATCACTTATAAATTTACAAACCCCTTTTTAAAAATTTATTTTCTTCTATATGTGCTTTGAAAAATGTGCTAAATGAAAGTCCAAGAATACTACACGGACTAAAAATGTGACGAAATTTGAATTTACTCTAAGAACCATGTAACTCTTTTTAAAAAACAAGTAGCTATTTTTAGAATTCATACTCCCTTTCAAGTATTTAAGCACTCATTTTAGTATGATCTCAAGCAAGCTATTTTACCTGTAAAGCAAAATTAATCCCAAATTTCAAATATGATCCTCCTCGAAGATTGTTATATAAACTATTTAAAATCAACCATAGGAGAATCATTTTTCTAAATCAAAATTGCATTGCTTGCTCAAATAAGCCAATTTTTTTAAAATAAAATCAAAATGATCATGTATATAGCCCATATGTGTCATATGTAGAAACCTTCACATAAAAATCAGATAACAAAAAAATTTGCATTGTGAGTCAACATTTGCATACCAACATATTCAGGCATTTTGGTTTAAATGGTCAAGCTGTAAGTCATATCTTCTAAATAAAAACAACCTTCCCTATCCTGCATATGCATTAAGACCGAATTTCATAGTTTTGAAAGAATTTAGATAGGTTAACTTGTAGTCCTTTCCAAACAAGATTATAAATCAAGAGTCGGACAAGTTTAGCTCTAGGTGGAGTTCTATGTTTGTAAGTCTCTTGAATTTTGGTTGATATAGGTTGAAGTTACTACCTAACGGTGGTTCTAACCTTAGATTTAGGAATTGAGACCGATGTTCTTTTCTGTTACATCGTAAGCCCTCACCATTCTAAACATTTCCTCTAATCCATGCTGGAATATAAGCTCAAACTTTCTAAACCAAATTAATCAACTTTAATTAAAACTAATTTCAAAAATGTAAAGCTCGATATAAGATACTTTGAGCACACATGAGTTTCTCATAATCAAGTGCTCTTACATCTTCCTTATTTGGCTTGCATTCTAAAGTTGATTTTAAGTTAATCTAATCCCTCTTGAAATTTCCCAAAGACCAAATCTTTGA